TGTTTTGAATATGGGGAACCACATTTTTAACACCTCTTGTAAATTTTTTCAGGATCTAAACTGTTAATAGATTTGAGGGGTGACTGAGAAAATTTGCGGGATTTGGGCACACATGACAGTTTTTAGGTATATAAAGAAAAAAAATTATATATTTACATATCAGCAAATGTTTTGCAATCAGCGAATTCAGTCTACATTAATTAATCGGTGGGTAATATGTCAAGTATAGGCGACTTAGAAGGAAAACAGTAGCTTGAGAAAGTTATGATGTGCTTTCTTTCAGTTTCTTATTTGCGTCATTGTTATCTCAGCAAGGAGCTGTAAATCTGTCAGTAAGCGCCGATCCTGGGAGATGGCCAAATTTCTGCTGGGATGATGCACAAAATGCAAACATATCGACCCGAGGATGAAAAGAAACAAATGACAGTGAGCACACAGCGATAAGTGATAAACAAAAAGGTTATAATAGAAAGCGCCGTGATCACAGCTGTTCGGGGAAGGAAGCGCGCGCCACTGTCAGTCCGGGAATGACAGAGGAGAGAAGCGTGGGCGGGAGTAAGAGAGGGAGGGAGGCAGACCTGTAACGAAAGTCAGCCTTAAACCTGAGCTCAGTGGCATTTCTCTCCCGCCTGCCGGTGAGTGTGAACCTCAGGCCTGGGTGGTCGAAGCGGATCCTCTTTGAATGAAAACAAGGCGTCGGTAAGTTTATATTATAAACTTTTTTTTTTGTATCTGTGTTTTGTTTGGTAAGTTAAAGTGATGTTTGATGATGTGCTATTTTTAGCGTGCGCCATAGGGAAATTCCTCCATCCACTGGCAGCCCAACTGGTTTATTAAATAACTAGCTATTAAGTTTTAAGCGGTGAGTTAATCAATAATCCCGGTTAATCAAAGCCCCCTGAAGAAAGTCATGGCAGTGAATGTAGTTGTTTGTTTCTGGGGACTAGAATAGTTGTGTGTGTGGAATGACTGAACTTTCTTATGTTTATGTGTCTTATAATTTTTTTATGTGCTCCTAATTTGAGCATATAACAAATAACATATATTTTTTAATGTATCCGATTTATAAAGTGTGGTCACACCATAGCAACAGGTACTTATACCACATTTAAGCACACTGTCAAAAAAATCACATGTTAGCAAATTAAATTTGGGGGTGATATGAGGGGACCTTGAGATCTCAGATCATATCAAAGAGTGGAATTCAACAGATATAAAATAGCCTACCACACTGTGGCAACTGCAGAGCAGGTAAACAAGTTCAGCACATTTTGGGGACTTTCCTAAAATTTATTAGACTTGTGCAAGCAGACTATTTGTTTTAAAGGTGGTGACTGCGGCTCAGGAAGCAGAGCAGGTCATCCACTTATTGGAAGGTCACTGGTTTAATCCTGGGTACCTTGAGTCTGCATGCTTGCATGAATGTCAGAGTAACTCAGTGACTGAGGCTTACAGATCAAAGTGCTTTGAGTGTTCAGTTAGATTAGAAGCAGCAAACCCAGGTCATTTTGGTTTGTTCCATGAATAATTTTTGGCTTTGGCTTTTCATTGTTAGCCACCTTGTTACTCTTTACCATGCAATCTGCAACTTCCACTTACTATTTCAACATTTAAATATTTCCAGATTCAGCCATGGAGTTCATCAAAAACTGCTGCAAGAACTTCATGAAGAAGAACGAGCAGGAGCGGGAGACCCAAGGTAAGCTGCCGTCCTGCACAGATGTGTATCAGACAGGTTTTAACAGACCTACTTGTGTCTCACTGAATAATATCTTCTGTTTTAAAGTGATTGCACTGAAGATGCCCCCTAACACAGCAGCAGCCCCAGGACCAAATGTATCTGAAGATTACTTACTTTCCAAGATGCCCCCAGACGGCAGAGAGGTTCCCTTTGTTGTGCCGACCTATGTCCAACCAAGCTACCCTAAATTACAGGCTGAGCCACAGAGTACGTACTTGTATCAGTTAGTACATTTTAAGTCTTAAGGTGTGTATATGATTTAAAGAATCAAACAGTGAAGATCCAAATTAGTTATAGCGTGTGAGAGGATAGTGATGACTTATAGGATGGGCT